AAAACAAACAAAAAGACCAAGGACCCAAAAAAAAAAAAGCAGAAGTCACCAAAAACAGAAATATAAAGGACTGAACCAGCCACTATGTAGGACAGACAGGCAGAAGACTAGCAGAGAGCATCCATGAACACCAACTAGGAATCAGAAGACACGATGAAAACTCCTTAATCTCACAAACATGGACAGACATAAGCATAGTTTCAGGATAAGCAGAGATAAACACCAAGATTATCACCAGACATACAATCAAGAAGTAAACAATACCCTAATCAAGAAACTATTGCGGGGGGGACCCACCACCAACACTGGCAGGGCAAGCCACTGTATATAAACAGAGAGCAAACTCCACTCCATTCTAGCACTGAAGATGTAAACACCAAGATTATCACCAGACATACAATCAAGAAGTAAACAATACCCTAATCAAGAAACTATTGCGGGGGGGACCCACCACCAACACTGGCAGGGCAAGCCACTGTATATAAACAGAGAGCAAACTCCACTCCATTCTAGCACTGAAGATGTTACCTGGCTGGGTAATGAAATGTTTGCAAGAACACAACCAAGCTCAGAGAACCCCAAGAACTTCACAGACCCATAAAATTGCGGGAACACAGGGGGCAAAATGATTCTCAGATTACTACAGCACTTGTGTGTGAAATGGGCCTTGCTGTTGTGCTTGCACTTGAATATAACTGGAATGCAGGAGGCTTTAAAAAAAAAACAACTAAAGGTGTATTTTAAAAAATGTTTTACATTTGGAATTATTTCAGCTCAAAAAAAAAAAAACCCTTCAAACTCAACATGTTCTGAATTTTAAATGTTTTATATACATCTAGCGTGTAATTATTATTACATAAGAGTGTGATAAGTATGTGTGCATGTGTGTATGTGTGCATAATTCCGGCTGAACTTCATCTCAAATGTTTATCTGAAAGGCAAGACAACATTTTAAAACAAATCAATCTGAAATTGACGGCTTTTTTTCAAGGTTTTTGATACAAATGATCTATTTGATCAGTTTGATACATATAACTTTTCTGACTCAATATGAAATTATTAGAGAAAGAGAAAGAGAGGAATTTATTTTAAAAGAAATTGACATTTTCATTCCGAGTTCAATACTTAAGTTGAATACAAATATTACAGAAATTTATTTTATTTGATATAAGTGTCCATAACATGTTTTCTATGAATGACTGATGAGATAATTTGGATAAGGAAAGGAATTGTTATTTTATCGATTCATCCCTACCAGCAGAAACAATGAGCATTTTTTCTGAAAGATAAAAATTCTTCTAAGCTGTGCATACAATTGCTTTGCTCTTATATTACATTAACTACATATATTTATACGAAATCTTCCTCTTTTTTATGTTATAACACATCACAACTAGTAATAAATTTTAATCTGCCTATGTGAGCTTGTCAATCAGGTTAACCTACTATTTATGGGTGCAATCATGTTACAAACTAAGTAATCTATATTCCAAACTATGCATAAGCTATACATCCTCTACTGACATAAATCTGAAAACTCTCAATTTTAAATTCCATCTATAAATCATTCCACAATTTATATTTGTTTTTAAATTATGAAATGCATATTAGACCCTAACCCTAAAAAAAGGGAGAAAATGCTCCTTCCATAACAGAAATAGCTTTAATTACTTAGGCATGGAAGGTTTGCTCCAGTTTGTTAGGCAAGTTTAATCTTTTCAATGTGCTGATCTCCTGAAGAGCACAGTAAGTTCTTAAACATAAGAACACAAGTAGTGTCTTGCTGGATCAGATCCCTGGCCCATCTAGTCAGCAGTCTGTTTTCGCAGTGGCCATCTAATTGCACAAGGAAATCCATTAGTCTCTCTGCAGATTGTCTTCAGAAATAGTCATACTGCCATCAAGGCTAATAGCTGTTGATCCCCAGGACTTCCATGAATTGGTCCAGCCATTTTTTTGAAGCCAGCCAAGCTGGTAGCCAGCTGCACGTCTGGGGTGAGTTTCTCCATCTGGGAATATCCATTGAGGATACTAGATACACTATTTTATGTTGCATAAATTTATACTATTCTTGGTAGTTGGTTCTACATTATAACTCATTCATTCGTTCATTCATTCAATTTGTGCAGCTGCCCATCTCACATTTGTGACTCTTATATAAAATACTCATCCATCTTAACAACCATTATCTTGGGTACTAGTCTCAAAAGCTAACTCTATAAACATCAATACAAACAGTGAAAGTCCTTTTCCATTTATGAAAAGGGAACTTTTTTCCCCCTTTTACTTAGGAATAACTTGCTCTTTAGTTCAAATCACAACAGATCACTTACAGAGCAGAGCCAACAAAGCAAACATTTTGCATACTAGAGGTTTATTATTTAGAAGAAGCTCAAACAGAGTAACATGTGCATTCTGAAACCTAGGAAGTTCCTTTCTACTCACACCTTTGGTCCTTTTAACTTAGTATTTTCAATACTGACCTGGCTGCAGTTCTTCAAAGTTTAGGGCAGGGATTTACTATTTTCCCCTTTCCTGATGCTTTGAGCACTGCAATAGCAGAGCATCACATATCAGAAGCTCCAGGAAACTGAATTTCCCTAGACATCTAAATCTTAGAATGAGTAACAGGTACTATGAAAAGTTACATTTCCCAGAATTCCTAGAACTTATACTGCTGATATTATAGGATTTAAAGCAATAAGAAGAGATTAATGCAGCTGTTTTTCATTCTTATATTACAGAGAAGTCTGGGAAAAAGTTTTGTTTGATATGGACAACCTTGAATTTCTGGTAAGTTAATATAAATTTTAGAAATGTGACTGCTTAATGTGTGATCCACTATAAAGCAGTTTCATATATTGAATATCTGCTCTATCCAGATACAAAAAAGTTACCTTGCACACTTATTGGAGAAACATTTGTGCCTAATTTGTGGAACAGTAGCCTAAATAGAATTGTTTTATTATACAAAAAGCATTATCTGAATCATTTTGCTAAATTAAGAACTGTGGGGAGTCTTCACCACATGGGGATCATTATTTTAATAAAAAGAACATTTTTGTCCCTACAGAAGTTTCTCTTTTCCAAACCGCAGCATTCTTACACACCATTCTGGATTAATTTTAATGCTCTGAGAGCAATAAAAAAAAAAAAAGCAAGCTCATTCAGTATGACAAACAACAAATTTCCAACAGAGAAGCGAGTACAAAAGACAGAATAATCCCATTGTCTGTAGGCACAGAAGCAAGGGCCATGCAACACTTTATAATTTGCATTTCCTGTCACCCATGATTTGAAAATATTGGTTCACATATTAATATGGAAAACCAATTCAGAAACAACACTAAAAGGAAATGTCCATGGGAAACATAATAGAAGGGTTTTTTGTGTGTTCCATTTCTGCTCACACATGTGTAACAGCAAGCTATCAGATTATTTTCTAATATTCATTTTTAAAAATACCACAGCCAGTTTAAAATGAAATGAAAAAAGTAAAATACACACCAATTCTCTAGGATGGAATGCTTCTTCTTGACGGAAAATGAGTAGACTAACTGACCCACCCATCTTAGTGCTCCTCAGAAGAGAAACAACTTCTTCTTGGGTTTTTCCTGTTAAATCCACTCCATTTACCTAAAAGAAAGGGGGGGGGATCTTTAATTAACCACAGCAAAGAAAGACTTTATGATAGATCAAATAGTACTTGCAATTAACTTTCAACAGAGCAAGGATCCTTTACCATGGTTTAACTTTGAAATCCTGAACATGACTTACATGGGAGTAAGTCCAATTCAAAACACTTTTATTTAAATTTTTTTAAAAATGGATCAGGCTACACCTCAATTCAATTACTCAGATATTTAAGCTCCACAGCTGACCCAGCAAACTGTAGATGTCATCATTTGGTTATGACTGCTCAGCATTCAACTACATAGAGAAAATGCTAATTAAAAAGGTAATTGCTTTTACTCTCTTCTGATCTTTCAAGTACAACCTATGTTTGCTCCTTGAGCTGATTTTTCTTATCTTTATGTAGGTTGGTTATTAGCTGTTCATTCATTACTGTGATAAATAAATCACTAAAAGTTGCTAGACATGTGTACAATCCTTAAGAACACAGAAGTTATGACTGCAAAAAAATGTGCTTAGGCCTACATGGATATGAAATTACTTTTTCCAGCAACAGAAAGACTGCTTTTTCAACAGCAATATTTTTCCAACAAATCTTTATTTTCAACAACATAAGCTAGTGATAAAATAGAATCTACAACAACACACTTTTCAAATTTCACCATAGAAACATATAATGAGTCATGTGATCTACAGACCACAGTGATCATAGATGTGAAGGGGCTAGATTGAAGCCAATTGCTGGAATCAAGTAAAAAATTAAATCTACTGTCATAATGACATAAATCTAGACTGTCAAGTCTGTCAATGGACGAGGGAAAGAAAGAAGCAGACAATTTACAAGGTCACAATACACGAAAGTTTGAATGACTACTGTTGTGAAAACAGTCCCCCACCACCACCAAAAAAGAACAAAAACTCCAAGATACCCATAAAGCCAGACAATATTTGATTTTAAGGCTGGATGGAGTGTCCTGGATGGAGGACAAAAAGGAGAACATGTCTGGTTCTGGTAACCCTACCTACAGGCCTTGTTCATGCCACACAGAACCATGATATGTTTGCTATTATTGAAAATTCACCAATTGACTAAATCCAGACAACATACTATCTAAAGCCAAATAAGTTGAATCAAGGTTTAGTAAGAAATATGAGTTCAGCTCCATAGAAAAGACAATGCATTGAATCAATTGTTACAGTTACCATTATAACCCACCTTATAGAAACTAGGGACAATGCTAACATACCATTGCACTTCTATCTTAGAATGGGGAATGCCATTAGAATAGGTAATATACTCACATGTGGCAATACTGCTAAACTGCCTGATAACTTAAACCTTGCTAAAGTATATTTTAGTGAAATTAAATGCATGAGCAAAGACGTTGTCAGTTTTTACTATAAATTGGAACTTTGCTCCTTTATCAACCATTAAAAAATGCTTGCACTATTCCAAAACCAGCGTGCCCAAAGAACAATCTAGATGCAATTGTAAATTGTGGTCAACCTTCACTTGGAAAACAACACCACAAACAGAATCTCCAAAACTACCAGATGCAAATCTGTTTTTTGTTTGCTTTCAGAGGATTGTGTGGAGCTTGACAGATTTAGTTAGTTCCAGTGCACGGGGACTGATTTCACAGGCAATGAACATGCAGAGCTTAGAATAGCAGAAAAGGCACAATTTAAACTGATATATGCTAATGTAGCCTTCCTGAACCTGGAGCCTTTGAGCTCCCAGAATTCTTCATTTTTCACTAGTATGATTTAGGAGACTTGGTGGGAAGGGGTATAAAAAGTTCAGTTAGTTTAACATATGTGCCTTTTTCATAGTAGCCTCTGCCCTGTGGAACACCCTTCCCCCAGGATCCAGCAGGCCCGCATCCTTTTATCCTTCTGGAAAACCGTAAAGGGGACGCTTTGCCCCCGGATGCTGGGATAGGGTAACACTGGAGCCCAAGGATTGTATGGATTGATGGATTCAAGATGGTGGGTCAGGAACCTGTTTTTCTTGCTTTTTGTTTCTTTTGTTTTATCATTATGAGCAGCCCAGAGTTGTGTTTTACAAGATGGGTAGGCATATAGGTCAATCAATTAATTAATTAATTAATTAATTAAGCTAGCTACTGTAGCTGGTATCAGGATCTTACCACGCCAGTACTTAAAAAGTAGAATTGGATCAAGATCCATTTTTGAAAACAACACAAACGCACAACTTTAAAAACCTTTAATCCATGAACTATCATCTGCTTCCTATCAACCTACCTGTACATCAATACCTTCAATATTAATGTATCTGAACTATGATAATATGAGACACAAGCTTCCAGACTGTGGAATGCTCTACCCAGAGAGGTCTGCCTGACCATTGCCTTGTTACGTGTCTTGCTATATGCAATCTTTCTACTAGAGAATTTTAATAGTGCTTCGGAATGATCTTTTTCAAAAGGGAAAGAAGGAATTAGACCATAAAATTCTGTGGGCATGGAGGAGCTATATGGACTCTGCTTCATTCTAATACAGAACTCTTCCTATTGTTACAGCATAACTGTAAATGTTGTTTTCTTATTAAGGAAACAGAGGCCTGGAGTAATGCTGTCTAGTTTCAAATTTTATTTAAAGAAATACTTTAGAGTTTAACCATAAATAGTAATGATGGGACCAATGTGGGATACAATTTATTCCTGGGGAGAATTTGCTATAGACCTCCCCTGATCTCTTAACACTTTAAAACACAGTTCTCTAAAATGGTTCATGCCCGTGGAAATGGCAACTATTACATAAAGAACTAGACTAAACATTTCTATTATTTTTCCCCTCTTTCTTTTCTGTGTGCATAGCTGTGTGAGACTTAAGAAATGAAATAATCCATGAGATTTGCACCCTAATGCACTTGTCCATTAGAAATTGCAATAAAAGTGGTTGCCATACTAAAAAAAAATAGTAACTAGCTGCGAATCAAACAACAGTTATGATATAATCACCCAATATCTGAGGAAATGGTCTTCTACAAATCAGATTTTTATATATTAATCTATGAGCACCTCTTCCTATTCCCCTGCCTTCTCACTGTTGGCCCTGTGAGTCAGTTCATTTCTCAGTTGTGATTCTGATCTTCACATTCCAATATGCTTGTCCATATCCATTTCCTTTATTCTAACTGCATCAAAACAGCCCCAAACGAAAAGTATGCAAGAAGACTGAACAAAGAATAATTCGTTAAATAAAAAGGAATGCTGAACATACTTTAAATCAACAATTGCAAAATTCATTAAATTCAAACCTTCAGATAAATTCAAACTTGTATAATATATAAATATGCAACCTTAAGAAAAAAGAAACCCTTTCTCCTTTATAGCAATATCTTATCATAAACATAATAATAAGGATGCAGTATTAGATTTCCCCCCATACAACTTTGCTAAATCAATCAAGAACTGTCTGTATTTCTGTCTTTTGACAAACTATAATAATTACCTATATTCACGTTTTTAAAATAATAACTCTTAAGTTTCTGACCACAGATACATAAAGTTTCATATCCAAAATCTGTTCCCAAATTCACCATAATTCAGTATTTGTCCCTTTTTACACTAATGTTTACCTTTGCTTCCAACGAACTGTAAAGGTCAAATCATTCCAACTCTCCAGGATATCTGTCCAAAACTACAGCCTTAGAGATTTTTATCCAGGCTGAAGGACATACAATTCAATTTATGTCATAATAAAGATGCTTATCAGATATTATACAAATACTAAGACCAGGCAAATTCCTGCTGTTCTATGCTACTAATAATGATTTTTTTCCAAAACTGTTCCAATGAAAGTTTCTATTTTTAAAAAAAATTATTCAATATCTCCCAGCTTTTGTTACACCTTATACAAGAAATAATTCGTTACAGGAATTAACGTGAAATACAAAGCCTTACGTCTTATCCCAAATAAATTGTCACACTGCACTATTCCTTGTCATTCTATTAAAAATACAGTAATATCTTACCAAAAAATGGTTGCTACCTCCAATTATTTTCTATGAATCAAACCTGTGCACCATCCCAAAATATGTTTTAAAAAATCTCTCCTTTCTAAATGATATAGCTGCTCTTTGTAAAGCAAGCTAAGTTATTCCTGTTTATTAATGTTGTTATTCTGAAAATATGAAAATCAGAAGACAGTGCTCTAGAAACCTGGCACAGTAGATCAGGAAAAAAATTAATTGAATTGCTATATAACTCATACAAATCTAAGATGCTTGCCAAAAGGACTTATTCCTAATAGCATTGTGACATTTCATCACCTCAATGAGTCGGTCTCCAGCCTTTAATCTTCCATCTTGAATAGCTGCGCCTCTTGGAAGGATATTTTTCACATAAATTGGAGCTGAGCCACCAATAGGAACATCTCTTGAAGTGATGCTAAATCCTAGGCCTTCAGTACCTATAGAAATGATTTTAAAGTATTGTAAGCTTATTTTGTGCCTCTGCATTATCAGAAACTTTGGATTTACATCAAGCCACCCAAGCATCCATATTGTCTTTTTCTACTCCATCATATTTAATAAAAACATAGACTTCAGTAAGTTTTTTCATAATCACAGTGTACCTAAAGCCCTGGTAACCATATCAGAAGGTTTCATCAATAGTACTCAATATGTTTTAGTTTTCCTCAATAAATAAATGAACAAATATAATGTTTCTAATTTGTTTAATTGGGTTCTATTGACCTAGTTTTAGGACTTGTGTGGAAAACAGATCATGTTTTAGATCATATTTATGCAGAAATATTGAAAATTCTAAAGGGTTCACAAACTTCTAAGCACCACTGTATGAAGCCATTCCAGTAATATTTCATGGTCCATAACGTCAAAGGCTGCTAAGAAATCCAGGAGAATCAACACAGTAGCAATCTCCCAGTAAAGATAATTAATCAGGGTAACAAAAGCTGTTTCAATTCTGTATCAAGACCTAAAACCAGATGGAAATGAATTTAAATTATCAGCTCTGTATAATCACTAACCCTCTGAGAATAGTGGGACTTATTCTGTGCAGAATTTTATAAATTGCAATTTTAGCTTCATGCTTGGAAATAGAGGTGGCATCATCCTATACCAGATAAGTTGTGTAAAATCTTGAAGTAGCTATAAGTTTGTGTATTCATATATGCCAGTTTGACTATGGAATGCCTGGTTTTGCATTCCAGTTTGAGTATCCCAGCCAAGTTCTCCCAAAGTCCCAGAAAGAAGGGCTGCACAGAGCCACAAAGGGGTAATGAGTTTAAATGGCTAAACTCACGCTCCTCCTTTGCCCAGGGGAGCATAGGCTCGGCTATCTGTCGACATCTGTTCTTCCTTGGCCTGTGCAAGCTTCAAGGAGGAGTGACTTCTGAAAGATCTCTGAAGCCTTGTTCCCCAGTTTTGCCTACACAAGCCTACTGACCATGAACTTTGTTCCAATTTAAATGTTTGAAAACAGAAGTCTAGTTTTAGCTAACATACCTGATTTAATTTTTTAAAAACAAGCTTTATAATATGGCTTGAAGCCTGCTCAGTGTCTCAACAGAATATAACCTTGCAGTTTCACACACACAGAGCACATAGAAGACACCAACAGCTGTCTAATCAGAGCACAAGGAAAGGCTGTACTATATGGTATTTCCAAATGTGGGCTGTGTGTGTGTGTGTGTGTATTCATGTCTAGTATTTAACTGCTATGCTGGCCACATGCCAAGTGGATATTTTGAAAAATAGAATGTTCACTTAAAAGGTTCCCTTTCTCTTCACTTGAATAATCGCTTGAGTTGAGGCAGAAAGGAACTTTGTACAGCATTCAGTCATTAAGAGACTATTATCTCCTTGAGTCTCCATGTGGAGCAAGCTGGAGTCCCTCCAAAGTTTTCATCTTCTTTTGACTTAAGTGCTTGTGAACAATAAAAAGTGACACTTTTCTGCAATGAATGTTCTTTGCAGCTGTCGGTTTAATTAATTTTATTCTTACAATGTGTGCTGAGACCTCCCAGAGGTCTCACCTACATCATGAATTGATTCCTTAACATCTTTCAATTCTCACATTTTTTTCCTCTTGGTATCTAAATCAAACATTATGGTTTGCTATGGACAGAAATCATCCTGGATCGAAATCATGAAACTTTAATTAGGTTCCCTACTTTAAAGGTTTGATTAATAAATATACATATTCAGAGGCATTCCCAAAGTGAAAACTCTCAAAGCATGACTCAGTGGGTTAAGTCTCAAAAAAATTTGAGTAGGTTAAGAGCTTGAAAGAACTAGTTACAGAGATCTCAATTGTTTTAACATCTAAAACCAAACTGAAACATTTCAAAGTTTAAACCATTTGTTCTTTAGCAACAGATAATTGTCAGAGAAATCACCTGCCTTTGGGCAGAGAGAAATTCAAGTGATTATTTTTATTCTAATTTATTTATTTATAACATTTATTTGCTTGTTTAAAGTATTTTTAAGCTGGCTTGGATACAAAAGCCTATTCACATTAGATTACAACAGTAATGTAGTACCCTGCGCTATCATTAAAAATATATATATATTGTTGGAATAAGACAAAATATGGAAGAACACACAGAGGATAACTAAGAACCTCCACACTTAACATTATTTGTACATCCATGTTTGAGCAAAAGTAATCTGTGTGAACATACTCACTGCATCCCACAATGATCTGTTCATTTGCAAACCTGGCTAACGAAAGAAGTTATGCCAGAATGAGTAGGAGGACATTCCATTACAGACCAGCACTACTGTGTCAAAGATGGACACAGAATGGCTGGAAGCCATGAGAAATGAGACTCAATGATCAACAGCCAAATTGCTAAATTTGACGTATGACAGTACTGTGGAAGACCAGTACCTAAATATAACACTGCTGCACTCAGAAGTTAAAAAAGGAGTATTTGGGCTAATTGAAAATTGTGGTCAGTATCCAACATACTGCTTTGCTATAAGAAGAGAGAAAAGGGGAATAATTAGTTCGGCTCTTCATTAAGTTTTCTCGCCAATTAAGTACTTCACCTCCTAACATCTTTCCATCAGCTTACATTTCAACAAGTAAAGTGTGCGACTGGCCATCCCCTCTTTGTACACTTGCACATTACAGACTCTGCTATGAACTACAGTGCAAATAAAGACAAAAGAGCCAAAGATATGCATAAGTTCTGAATATTAGGATCCAAACAGAAATTGGACAGGGCAAACAGAGTTGGATTGGAAGAATATGTGCTTGATGCCAGAAGACCTCTGTTTGAGTATCAGTGGAGGCTTGCCCAACCCATTCTGTGGTATAATAATTCAAGGGCATACCCCTCCAGGGGAAAATTATGTTTAGCCAAGCACCACGGGAGTAGAAATCTACATGGAAGAAGAGTGTGAATGAAAGAAAATTGGTAAAAACCTCTCATTTAGCGATTAATTTAGTTAGCAACTATTCACGAATACAATGGTAACAAAAAATTCATTTTCCGACCAATGCATGCATTTACAACCAAATTTTGTGTGCCTGACAACAAAAGCCTTCAGTGTGAAATGAATTAAATTCTGGTCACTTTCAGTAAACTCTCTGAACTTAGTTTGTATTCTCTTTTATTATTGTTATTAAAAGTTTCAATAATTTTTTTTTTTTTAAAAAGCAGTACTAGGCTCGGAAATTGGCAACTTATTTGGTATTAGGATCAATTTTCAAATCGATCATTCTTACAATCCAGTTTGCTTAAAATAATAATAATACGGGTAGTCCTCATTTAGTGACTGCCTTGTTTAGCAACTGTTTGCGATGGTGATGAAAAAGTAACTCTGTGACCAATCCTTGCACTTATGACCTTTGCCAATCTGTAAAGCAAAGGAAAGCTGAAGTAAGATCATAAGCACAGTCATGGTTTCACTTAGCAACTGCTTCACCTCATGACTGAGTTGCCAGTCCCAATTGTGGTCACTAAACAAGGACTACCTATCATCATCATCATCATCGTGTAATTTAATCAGTGTAATAATAGCAATTGAGATCATTACCTTCTATTCCTTTTCTTGAAGAAAATATTATTCTGAGTCAAGATTTTGGAATACTGCTTAAGCCAAACCACACAGAGAGCTAGCATATTAGAAGTTTTTCTCAAATTCTAATAGGATCTGCAGGCAGCACAAATAAAACTGGGGATTGTTTGTGTGTATAAGGGAAGATTGGTCACAATGACCCAAGCTTCTAATTGTCAGCCTATAGTGTTTGAGCATGCAACATATGTTCAAGACCTGCAATTGGAACTGCCTTCCACAAAGTAGTGGATAGAGCCAGGATATTAAAATTAAATTCTATTTTATTTCATTGACATATCATGGAAATTAAATATAGTAATATAATGCTCTTCAGTCATGTATTTAATAATTTCCCCTTTCTGTCACATTTAAAATTACAATTTGGAACAACTTTTAGGGGTCTCTATGGTCTGTATTCCAAGGTTTTGATGGCTCCGATTGTGTTTTCTGTTATAATGGGGAACCTGCAGAAAAATTAAGGATCCAATTTCTCTATTCTAATCCGCAAGCTTGCAGTTTTTCAACTGTGAAATAAAAGCTCCATAATGTTTGAGGCAAAAAGAAAAGAGGAATGCCATACAAAAATAGAGCAATGATGGCAAGCTGATTACAGGCCTACTTGTATCCTTGCTGTTTTTCCCAATAAGGTGCAATCCCACTCTGATTTTAGTGAATTGTTCATCAAACACAAATGACATTGTTTACTGTGTTTCATTAGAAGTCCATTATCTGCAAACTATTATTCAAGGAAGTTTTGCAATATCACATGGATCAAGGCTAAGTTAATGTTTTGCTTAATTACACCCTTTGCAAAACTACTAAGATGCTGTGCTTTTCAAATCCTTTTATACTGGAGATCCACATTCTAGAATTGCATGTAGGCAATCACAATAATTGTGTCTGGAAATGACCAGTTAGAAGCTTGAACTGGTCATCTGAAAATGAAAGTTCTCCAGCTGCATGTGCAATCAAAATAATTACGCCAAGTATTTGCTGAAATTATTGAAAGAATATGGGCCATTCTGTACAATGTCTATCAAAGGACATGCCCTTTAGGTATGCAATCAGAAGTGGCCCTTCAACTGGAAAGATGGACTATTTTGACCCTGCTTAAATACTACAGCATTATAGTTACTTATTTTCGCCACTAATCCCAGCACTGCCATTTTTAAAGATGTCATGTGCTTTATAGGAAGAGGGGTAAGAGTAATAAAAATAATCCCTTATGGGACTGAGATGTGAAACTAATTCTCAAAGTTCTCTTGTATACTAAGTTTTAAATATGCAAACAGCAGGCAGATGATTAGTGAGGGACACAAGTACCGAATCTGCTGGAGTGAGCAGCAATAATAAATTTAATGAATGAATTAAATAATAATAAATAATATATAAATATGTTTCCAAAACTTCTAGCAATTTTGAAGAACCAAATGTGGCCAAACACATACTTTTTTGCTCCCATATGCAAGATTCTCCATCTCCCCCATCAGTGTTTGCTCTCTTCCATTCTGTGCTTAATATTACAATCAATGTTTACAATGCCACTCAAAATGATTGATGCAAAACCATTTTAAGATCAGTCTCAATCTATTACATATGTGATGTTTTAGATCTATGTGTTCCAAACTGTAGTATACTAAGAAGGCATTGCACTCATGGAAGTGTCTGCAAGAATTTAACCTCAGTTTATATAGCTAAAAAGATTGGCAAACTGCAAAATCCCAGTCATATTAGAACATCACCAATAATTGCTAAATCTGTATGCTAGACGTTCAAGCCACGACCTTTAACAAAAGATAAATAGATATCAATTTTCATTTAGAAAAAGCCAACAAACATTCTCCATTGACAGAAGCATATTACTGACCTTCTCTTCTGACTTTATTAAACAACTAATTCCTATGAAAGACCAGGTTATTTGAAAATGCCAAAATGGCAGTAAATATTAAGAAATTATAATGGAAGCAAGTACAATTACTGTAAGAGTATCCCATTTTGTCATTTTAGACAATACAGTTCATACAGCTTTAATGAGGACAGTTCTTCTCTTAGTCTCCTCCATTTATACCTTAGGAAGGACAATTTGTACATTCTAAATCACTATTCCAAATGGAGTGGATAAATATGGAAAGAATTTCATGATGATGACAATTGTGTGTGTGCGTGTTTGTGTATAAAACATTACACACACACATACAAACAAGGAAATTTTAATCTAATGATGGCAACTGGCAAAATAACTGCTGCCTGTTAGCTGGGGGGAAAAAAAGCATGTTTGTTAGGTTTCCTTAAAGCCTGTCATATTATAATATCCTTCATTAAAAACAATCAAAGACAATCAACATCTCCATTCTGCTCATATTTATAATAAAGTATTTGGGGGTATACTTAAGCACTCTGCTTCATTTGTTGTACCACATGCATATTTTTCTACATAATCAAATGAGAACTATGGCACGAGGCATATTTCTATCCATGGTGAACTTTAACTCTGTTGGAAGGGGACCGATTGCTATAAAGAGCGAAAATATTTGTTTGCATCACACATTCTGATTACCATATTGTATAATATATAACACTGCAACTATGCCCTAAATCAGGCCTGCATGACTTGTAGAAGGGAAATGGCCACAACTGATAAATTAAAAATCCCTGTGGGCCACAAAGGAATACCTGGCACGCCAATCAACTGTTTAGTTGCTAGCAAGCAGCATCAGCTGGAGGTGGTCAGCAGCATATCTTTGACTCAGCGATGGTGAATGTATTGACTTTTTAAAAAATGCCAGCAGGACACATAAGGCTGCTTGGTGGGCTGCATGCAGCCCACAGGTCATATGTTGTGCAGGCCTGTTTTAAATAGTTGCAACCGCCCAGAATCACTGGGAGTCAGGCAGTGTACAAACTGAATGAAAAAATGAATGGACAAATGAACAGTTCCTTCAGACATAGTACCAGATACAGAATTTGAAGGGACTCCCATTATATGAATCTTCAGCAGAGCTAAATGGAATATATAAATTGACATTACAGCTCTTGAATTTAAAGTATGAAGTATGAGGCTACGTGTAGTTGATTCTGTATTAGACTGTTGCCAATTAAAGTTTAGTAAAATTAAGTTGACTGAAATCAGAATTGACCATGAATCATATTTTCAGGCTCTTGTAAGAAAACTTTAGTGAAAATGTAATAAATAAAAGAAATAAATATAAATGACTGGATTTAAAAAGTTAAAAAGGCAGGTACTCAGCATCTCTCAAGATGATGTTTAGTTGCAAACCTTTTTCCATGGTTGCCACACATCTAACTTCAGAAAACAAGCACCAGAAAAAAGTCCTTCATTGGAAACGACTCCATTGGAATCATAACACATAGTAGACATATGTGTTAACATATCAAATCATGTATGGATTCCAGATCATGAAAGATACTTAAATATATGCATCAGCTATCAGAAAAATATTCAGAAATGGGTCATCACCAATGCGCCTGCTTCAAACCTGGCACGTTTTTACCAGGACTGGCCCTAGTTAGAATAGTTTAGTAGCTGATTCTGAACTGACCATCACTTCCAAAACGTCTTCAAAGACTGGCCTCATTTAATATAGTACAATAATGGAAGTCCTACCCGGGTCCACAGCTATTTGCACTCCAGTCATGTATTCTCAAGAGATGTAAAATGTGTTTAGTCCATTACTAAGTTTAAATTTCTGTTGCAATTACATAAATTGGAAGATTGGGATTTCAATTATTGAAAATCAGAAGCCTGCACAATGTCCCTGCAGTGTTTTAATTGACTTTCTCCTTATCCATTCCATTACCGTTGGAAAACTAGTAAATCTCTGCAGTGACTGAACTTATAATTGTAACCACAGGATTATCATTCAGTTAGGAATAGTGTGTCCCCACGCACAAGCATATAACCTTAAACTGATGGCCTTAAATATTTTTGTAGACACATCAACAGCCGAAAAAAATATTGACCACCTTATGTCATTCAGGTTTTGTTGAGCTTAACATTCAGTAACTAGAAAAAAGCAATCTGGTTGTTCACCTGCAGTTCACAGAAAACAGAGCAGAATAAAAGAAAGAAAATAACTTAGATCATAATTAAAGCATAATAAGAGCCCCTCTTGACATGATCCATGCAAAAAAGTTTTGTTAATGTAAGAAATGGCACTTGAACTTGGCTGAAATGTTCCAGACATTCAACACAGTACAGCTAGTAAGAAATCATTATTAATATGCCAAGGCAGAAATCACTCCAAACAGTTCATTACCCTAAGAGAGAGGAAATGGCAATCTCTTCTTATATCCTCTTAACTTAAACTCAGTGCCTATTTCTTCTGCCCTTCCCAAGTTGAAAGGAACTCTTGCTTTGAGATTCTCTTGGTTAGGGCAAGAGAGCAGTTGGTTACTGACATTTTCAACTTTCCTATATTGGAAGATTCTAGCTCCTAATGTTATCTCCATCAATGTATACCTGTATTTGTCCCACAAATGTAAATACAGAAACAATAAACTTACCTTTCCTTAACTGTATATTAAGACGTTTCCCTATCCTTTTGGTATTATAGCCAGAGTTCGAAGTAGTATGAACTTTCTGTGGCGTTGATGCCAGACCCAAAGGTGGTTTTCCTGAATTCACATTATGAGGTAGTTGTGAGTAAGAGTCCAACTGATCAGCTTGATTGCTCACTCGGGGTATTCTCTGCAAAGTGTGAAGTCCAGAGTGGTTGATACTCTTACTGTCATGATACTGGGAATCAGGGCTAAAGCGACTGGAATAGTAAGCATTCTTCTCACTTTGTGATAACTGCTCATACTGTTCTTTTTTTGCAGCAGGAACCACATGGAACCAAATAATGGGTGTACGCATGGCTTGACGGAACATATGCTGTGCTCTAGGTTTTAAAATGAATGGAAAATTAACACATTAAGACTGGCAGACTAGAAGATATTACAAGCATAATTACTGATGTTAATTAAGCATTATGAAATGACAGACATATTGTTCTAACTGAACTGTAAACTGAAAAGGATATTTTCTTGAAATGATGTGTTCACAAATGCCTTTGTTTCTCAACTATATTTTTCTTAGGGCAATTTTTTTTTTATGTTTTCCTGTTTCTGCAAGTAAAATAACTGTATAATAATTCTTGAGGTCCTGATTTTAATGTTTAAAATATCATAAAACTGCAATTTTGACAATTCTTCTCACCAAGATATTTAATACAAAATACTGTTAAATACTGTACATATGGAATTACCCTGTATGATGTCCCTTGAAACATGAAAGCATGTTTCATAATAATGTATCAAATTGTATTCAGTTTACTTACAATCAAAATCTATATAAGAAGATGATTTTCTATTATCTAAATGTTTCTTTTTGAATCAGTTGTCTTTTAGTGACCTGTTTCAGGTACAATGCTGACTAGAATTTATTTGAATAAGCCTCTTACATCCAGTTCAGATAATAATATTTTTTTCTTCCGGAACACTGTGGTTCTGATTTAATTGAAAAGTACTATGTGGAACAGTGACCCCAAGATCCTCTCAAGCACAATCCCCTGATATGCAACAAATTTCACTAGTTTGCACAACTATTCACAAGGCAGCCCTCATGAGAGATTTTGGATGCAAGCCAGACTTCTCCATTTTATAAAACATATGCCCTATATTAGGAGAAATTCTAGAACACAGAAAAGCTGTTGGGGTGGGGGCAACTTTTATGTCTGCCTAGTATAAAAAAAATAATTATTTAGATTGTCTTTTCAATATAATATGATCACACAAAAACAGCTATAACTTTGTTTCTTCTTCTAAAAGTATGTATGAATTATTAAATGATCAGGTGATATAAACTATGCATTTTTTCTTCCTTTTACATTTATCTTCATTAAAATATTCATGCAAACTATAACTTATTTCACCAGGGTAACCAGGGAAATGTTTGCTCCTGTCAAGCCCCAATGCTCTTCTATGCAAATATCTATAATCTTACTGATTATGGCACTTGTATGCACAAGTATATTTTGAATACAAAATTGCATATTTTCTTTAACAAGTAAACATAATGATTTCCATAACCAACACAATGCTTTCCTTCTCCTATAAACAAGTTGATTCACTGAGGATAACAACCATAGTGGGGGAAAGATCAGAGAAAATTATAAAGAGAGAGATAGAGACAGACAGATAGATGGAAGTCATTACCTTGTAGCTTAGTAGACAAAGAAATTTTAAAAATCACTGTAATGATCTTCAAACACCTTTGTTTTTACAGAAATTATTTAGGCAATTAAGTTGTTTAAAATTGTTATGGCTTTTATAAACTGCTTCCACCTTGGAGTTCAAGATCAAGAAACACACACACACACACCAAATGTACATAATGCACTTACTGCTCAAATCTTCTATTTCGAAGGTCTCCATCATTAATTCTGACAATACAGTCATTTTCATGAAAGAGGTTCTCCTGTTCTGCTTTACCACCTTTCTCCAGTCTCTTTACTAATAGTCCTAAAGTTCTGGAACATAATTTAAATTATTATTACATAGACACTGTTTCCAAAGTGCATTTAGATTTCACCAAGAAGCATAAACCCCATCCTAATGCTGAAATGCTCCCATTGTCCCTTAAAATCAGCAGTCTCAGATCAAAGTTCAAAGTGATTACCATTAATTAACTGTACAGTAGACATTTTACATTATGAGTGCAAGAAAGTTTGTCAGCACAAAGCCCACTGAAATAATTTGGAGTATGTGTGAAAGAATGCATACTATCACTAATCATTTCTATGGCTTCTATGCATTAAATTATAGGTTACAAACTCTTCCTAGTCATATCAGAAGAAATGCCTAGATTATTGAGAACTCCTGAAGAATGGAGGATGTACCAGTTATCCTATTTTCAGCAAGAGGAAAAGGGAGAATCCAGAGAACTATAGACCAGTCAGTTTGACTACAATACCTGGAAAGATTATAGAGCAGAGTCAAGATCTGTGAGTTAGGTGGCCATACAAGTTGTCTAAATAAATAAACAAACAAAAATGGAAGTGGTTTAACAACAGAATCAATTACTGAGAGAGATGGAGAATGCCCATTCACTGGAAGTGTTCAAGCAAAGGGCAGACACCCAACAGATAGAGATGCTTTAATTAACAGATCCACTGAGTCAGATTCAAGTGGTCCCTTCCAATTCTATTATTTATATTTCAGATAAATTTCTCTCTTTTAAACAAACTTCAAAAAAACTAATGCAGAAAGATGGGGAAATGCCTTTGCCAGAGAAACCAGATCTCCTGAACCTAACGTCTTCCAGATATGTTGTGCCTATAACTCCCAGACTCCCCAGCAATTTTAGGAGTTGCAGTGCAGAAAGTACCCAGGATACCAGAATGGAAAAAGTTGTCCTTGACCCTGCCAAGCAACATTACACAGTATATTAACTTTTCCTACTCTTAAATTGCTTAGATTTCTGTACCCTCCCAACTCCGTTATTTAATAATTTTAGAGACCTTACACCACATTTACCAAATACAGACTTATTCATTAAAAAACATTAGATTGGAACTAGACAAAATTAAATTCTCTTAGTTCCAATTAAAATTAATTAAATTTCTAAGAAATGTTTAATTTCACACTGGTTTCAATATGGCCAAATTGTAGCTAACATGCAATGAAGTCCTATGCTAATATACTCAGGGGGAAAAAATCTGACTTGGTTGCTGAATTAACCCACTTTTCAGGGTTTGCACAGTGCCCTGAATCATGAACAAATCAAACCACAAAGCCACTAAATGAATAAAAGCAAAATTAAAAGCAGCATGTTGTTCACATTGAGTTGCTAGATGTTTAACTGGTTAGTTATGTTATATGAACATAGCAAATGACTCAACAAATTTTATTCTTGGTGCATTGGGGTCAGGTATTGTTTAGTTAGTACTTACTAACTTACTAAAATATAAATTCAGTTGGGTTTTACAAGTAAGCTGCATTAGTAACCCTAATTGCAAGGGGAAAGATGAACACATGAGGCAGAGAGGAGAGAGAACACAGGATATAAGGCACAGAGAATCTGAATTGATTTAAAGTTTTTGTTGCTCTGTTAAAAAAATTACCCTTCTCTGCATGAAAAACTTTATTTCAAGGGGAAACGGAAATTATTTTAAAATAAATTTCATAAGTATATTTAATTAACTTTAAAGTGAACTGTGTTATTATAGCTACATTACTTCAATTATGTTCAATTTTAGTCAGAGAGACAACTGTTTCAGCACATGCATGGTAAAGTAAAGAGGCCGAACTACACTTTGATATATTTAGGATAATCTTCCTGATAGATTGAGGCATTAACACTGTCTGTTTCTATTAGGATACACTACTTTCTTCATACAGCTGGGTGGCAGTTGGGGTCATTCATATCTTCAAAGCAAAGATGCATATTAATGCAAGCAATTTGAGACATCAATAATACATTAGCTGATTATTTCCAGTTTTATCACTGATTACAATTTAAATATAGAAGAGAAATGTTAGCATATGTGCCAGAGTTTATTTTATTTATATAATTAAACTAATAAAGCTAGTGAAAATGCATTGATGGGAGAATTAATCTCTGAACTTTTCAGATGCACATGAATAATACACATAACCATAAATTTAGAGTATTTTAAAACTGTTGTGTTTTCTTTACATACTTGCAAGTTAGCTTCCTTCCTGTCAAATTTTCAAGGTGTTAAAGCCATGAATGACTCTTAGTCATCCATCTCCAAAAAGTTATGACAAATGTACAAGAAACTCCATTTACCTACTTAGAATCTAGGCATTTGTTGGAGTGGAGGGTGCAGAGCAAATGTTGACACATGCATTGTGACATCACTATGTAAACCATGTAATTTATGTACTAGTTTTCAATATCAGGATGCTAGTATAAAAGACTGGGATTTGCATTGTGACATTGTAATTCATGGTTTTTCATTTTTTCATTGCTGTGGTTTATATTGTACACTTATGACTTAAAAGTTTTCAATAAATACAAACACACACCTCTCTTTCTGTAGAGAAAACCTATTTTATAAAGTTTTCATCTTCCTCCCAAAAAGCTGTGAAATGTATATACTGGGCACATGCATTAAAGTAGAGAAAAATATGTTCAAATATCAAAACAGTTACACCAAAGACAAAATATTGAACTTGGAAACATTCAAAACCAGATTAACTTCAGCCACAAGGATCAAGAGCTAAGACAATAACTGAACTACATTCAACTGAACTTCCCTATATTAACTTATAAATGTTGTTTAATTACAGCACAAAATTCTTTAATTATACACTGTAATCAAATGACAGGAATGATAAAGACTACAGCTTGTTTAAGAGCTTGTGTTGATAAGATTCTTTTTAATATCTACATGAAACCACTCAATGAGGGTATTCAATGGCATGGAGCAAGGTATCATCAGTATACAGATGATACTCAGTTGTAATCTCTGCCTTGAGTCACCCAAGTGATTCCATGAAGGTCCTGCCTAGGGTCTGGAGGCTGTAGGGTCTGGATGGACAAGAACAGGATTATATTCAACTGTAGCAAGAGTGAGTGGCTTTGGGTTTTAGGGCCCCCCAGTTCCAGTGATGTTCTATCTTTACTTCTGGATGGTGTTGTACTACCCCAGACAGAACCAGGGTGCAACTTGGGAATTCTCCTGAACTCATGACTTGTCTGAAGAGCAGGTGGCAGCAGTGGCCAGGAGAGGTGTGCTGTGTACCAATTGTACCCTTTCCTGGACTGAAAGGCACTGTGTATGGTCACTCAAACTGTGGTCATTTTCCAAATGGACTGCTGCAACACACTCTACAGGGGGCTGCCCTTGAAAAGCATCCAGAAACTGCAATTGATTCAGAATGCAGCAGCATAGGATATTATGGGTATTTCCTGATTTGACCATGTTACACATTTGCTATACTAGCTGTATTGGCTCCCAGTAGGCTTCCAGGTACAATGCAAGGTGCTGGTTGTCATCACCTTCATGACTGACTTCCGGGAAAGAAATGGAGAACTGAAGACGGCTCTGCCAAAAGCTGAGCTGATGATTGTGGCAGAATGAAGAGCCAACAAAAAGACAGTGGTTTCCAGAGGGTTTAGAGCTCTAAAGGAAGTAGCCATCTTGCTCAAGCCACAGTCAGCCCCTTTAAAAAAAGTATGGGTTCGCATACTTCCTTTTCTAATCACTTTCGGAAATTGCTTGTTTACTGCTTTTCAGCTAAAAGGAACCTTTGGATCGACAAGTTTAACAGCACTGGGTGAATTTCCTTCAATCCTTAGTGAAAGAAGTTTTAAATACAAGTTTAAGGACTTTTTTTTTTTCTGGAATAAACAGTAAAAGGGTGATTAGAACTTTGATTTTAGAAACTTACAAATGGACTAAGGGTCCAGGTGGTTTTGAAATAAAATTTTGGAATTAATTATAAAGAATCCTTCCCATGGGAAAATCCTTATCATAATAAGATAAGACTAAAAATTGGACACTAGAGAGAACTAGAAGGAACTAAAAATTCCAATTAAAAGAGAACACTTAAATTTGACTTACTAATACAGAATGAAGCAAAATATCTTAATGCTGGAGATATTGAAGGATATTTTTGAATAATGGATCCAGAAGTTAATTTTCTGCCTCTATAGATAGACTTTGTTTAAAAAATGGAAGAAGAACAAGTTTTGCCTGACAAGATTGAGACTGATTTGAAAGTGGATTTAAAAATGACAGGCTACAAGAATGACATGGAAAAAGATGTCATACAAAAGAAACCAGCTGATGTCTTAAATAATTAAAAGGGATATACAAATAACAAGCCATGAGAGTGACCTAGATAATTTTCCTATATTAGATTTACAAAAGAGGCTTGCTAAAGCTTTGAAGAATTTTGTGAGAAGGGACAAAGAAAAAAGGAAAAGAAATCAAGTTCCAGGACATTATTTGAAGGGACTAAAGATCAAGATGGTTAGAAATAAAAGGAAGAAATATAAAGTTGGTTTCTTTGATCAAGTTTAAAATAGATATGTTGTTATCTCTGGTAACCTTTAATGGACCTTTGCTGACATCAGGACTGAAATGATGAGGTTTTATGGATTTGTTTATAGATAAGACATGGGATATAGGAAGAAGAGATCATTTGTTGTATTTTAAAAGAAGCTGATATGTTACTAAAAT